CTCGGAGCGTCGGGGTGAGTCTCCCCGAGCCGACGTGAGCAGCTGCTCCCCAAAAAATCTTCCTTTTGGCCATGGCTGGGCTCGGCCAGACGGGTTTTTGGTTATTAGCTGCGTTTCCCAGCCTCCTGGGGGCAAAAAGCCGGAGGCAACCCCACGGCAAGCAGGGGGAAGGGTGTCTTGGGGGTCTCTCAAAGCACAGAATCCCTGCGGGGTCGAGTTTTTTTCCTCCCTTGCATCGCTTCTTGCTCCCGGTTACGATCTTACAGTCACAAACAGTTTGCAGGGAAACTTGGATGGAGTTCAACCCCCGTCTCACGTGGCTTTTTTCCACCGAGGCGGCTGCTCCTGATGTTTTTTGGGGGGAAACCTCCCCTGTCCTCCCTCCTGGACACAGGCAGATGGGATAGCAGCACGTTGCTCCACAGCTGTTGGAAGAAACAGAAATAAATTCCATGACTTTGGAAACAGAAGCGGGATTGAGGGAGTAACTCAATCAGGAGCCAAGAAGTGACCAGGATTTTGTTTCAGGGGAGATGCAGGGACAAGTGGGAGGCTCGAAAACAGCTTCGATCGTGGCGGATCTGTCCGAGACCACCTTCGAGACGCTCTACGGGGAGGAGAGGTGGGTCTGGCTGCGGGGAGGGGTCCGTGCTCCCCTCAGCAGCAGCCCCCCGGTGCCAGGGAGGGATCTCACTGCCGCTCGTGCCACTTTCAGGATCGGAGGAGAGGTGCACTCCATGGTCTGGGACCCCACGGGTGAGAGGCTCGCCGTGATCCTCAGAGGGTTTTTTTCCCCCCCGCCTGCCCCAAAAATCCCCCTTCCAGCGGGCAGGAGGGGCGTGAGTGCCGCTGGGGTGAGGGTTTGGGTGGGGAAGGCAGCACCCACCCTCCATCCTTCCCCACTGTGCCTCCAGTCCTTTGAATTTCCCGCTCCCAGTGGGATGAATCCCCTCTCCCAACCCCGCTGTGACATCTCCGCATTCCCACATTACGCCTGGAGCCCGCTGGGGCCTCTTGGCTCCATTTTTAGGAGCAGCCCCGGGGCTAATCGCACCATTCGGGCTCTCCTTGCCGGGCCCCGCTCCGTCGAGCTTTGAGGGAAGCACCGAAACGCGGTGCCGGGGATGCTGCTGCCTCGCGCTCCCTCTCCTTCAGCCCAGCGGTGTCTGAACCTGCTGCGCCCAAACTCAGCAGCTCAATTTTTTTGCCGTGCTTAAAGCTGGGTGGGGAAAAAAAATGGATGTGGGGGGAAATGTGGAGACTCCCATGGCTGGCAGCCCCTGTGCTCTGTGCAGCCACGTGGGTCCTGCGAGGATTTTGGGGCAGAAATTGTGACAGGATGGAAAAATCATCTTGGTGTGG